TAACACGATTTTAATGACAGCCAGCTGCTATAATAATATAATAGTCAACAAACGTGATAGGTAACTGATAAGGTCATAATTATTTATTAATATTAAAATTCGTCCAATATGGGCTACTAAAGCAAATTACGGGCCGATTGAAAAATATTTCTCCAAGGGCCGAGACTAGTACTACCCAGGCTTTTAATTATTGTAGATGAACACATTTTTCTCTGAACCAAGTCCTCCACTAGGAAGTTTTTAGAAAACAACTAGGAAGACTAAAACACACGATCGTACATAAAGATTAACGATCAACAAGATTAATTTGTACAATTTTATTTTTGGTGTTCGTCAGATATCAGTCGTTACTCGTTAGTAAATAGTACGGCAAAATATATTTTATGGGTTTTTCTGTTTTCGTTTATCGATTAAATTTATCAGTCGTTGATTACCTAATTATTATTTATTACACATTTACACCGAATGTGACAGCTGAGACTTAACAACAGACTAATAACAGCTTGGTACCTACCTATAAATTAAGTAAGAGTTTACTAGTTTAGACGCAGGTATTTAACATTTATTAATTCCGTTCCAAATGTTCTAAATAGTGGCATGTCGGCGTATTAATTACATTTTATAATATTTCGTTTTTGTCATTAAACTTCTTGCTAGTTACGATTCATGGTCGATACGCATTTCGTTTGGACTTAAGGAGCACAGCAGACATCAGTCAAAAATAATACCTAATATTCTGAAATTTTACTGTTTAGCAAAAATAACTGTCTAAAATGCAGCTTCCCGATCGAAGGTATGTAATAGTTATAAGTCTAGGGTTTGAGCCACTGGTTTTTAAATTTATTTTTTTGTTTAAAAACTAACTAAAATTTAATTAATCCGGTATAACTGTTGATATTTTATCTGTTCAATTTAATGAAATACAAAATACTTGCATTTTTACTATGCATAGCCTATAACACACGTCATGTATACCTACTGTATAGGTGGTGTATGCACTTTTTTTCTTCATCATATTAACTATAAGCCATGTGTTGATAATTGATGAAGAGAAATATTTCCGATACATTAATAAATTCAAGTTCATTAGTCATTATGCACTAGCAACGCCATTATACACCCCTACAAATTTATTTTATTTTTTTCAATCTACCTAGGTACATACATTTAATATAAATTTCTGAA